ATAAACAAATGTCTGTGCGCCAGGGTGCATTTTTGCATGTGCAAGTGAACTTCCCAATACAGACAGATTGCTCGGTGAATGCTTTAGTGATCTCTGACGTCAGTTTTACGCCAATCCCATTGGCTTCAGTTGAGTTATTGCTGCCATAAATGAAAAGAGTTTCGGGACCTCAGTGTCTTGTGTCGGGAGCCCTCCATCCCTGGCCCTCTAATCACAGAGAATATATTCTGGAGGTGGGTAGTCTATGCTGTAATGCTAATGGCCAAAGCATTAGGAACGCCGAGGCCTCTTCAGTAGAATGAATGAGTTAACCAGCCACTTTCCTTTGTATTGCTGCCTTGTTGTTACTCCCTGGGGCAGTATGGTGCTGCCATCTGGAGTGGAGGATTGCACAAGGCAGAGGGGGTCCGCTGCTGTCGTTACTGCACACTTGGTTTATACTAACTTGGGCCACTTTGCCCCACGAGTTTGGAGAGAGAGGAGAACCTGCTGGAGCACAGATGATCCTCCAGGGGGCTCCCGCAAATTGGCTTCCATGCAGCTGGAAAGTGACGGAGGAATGTGCCATGGAGCTGGCAGTCTCCTTCCCTAGCTGGGTTCTGTTGCTGTCAGCTGCCCTTATGCTCACAGAACCAGAGAGGAGCTTTTAATTCTACATCAAGACATGGCCAACATCAGCAGCGCCAACATTTGCCCCATCTTCTCCTCCTCGCTTTTTGTAACCACGTCACTTTCCTGTGTATTGTTTTTAAAACCCAGCGCTTCAGTGCTCCTTCCCTAGTAAAAATATTCACACCAGCAGCCAGCCCGGCATTTGAGAGCTACTTTTCCTATAGCACGCCGGCACAAATGTTAGGGAAAAGTGGTTATTATATGGCATTGGTTAAGGGGTGGTTATGAAAATTATTGAACAAAGTCCCCAGCTTGAACCAAATTTATGGCAGCGTTTCTCCTTCAAGTGCATTGTATTTTCCCCCCACATTTTTAAGTTTGCAATAAGGTTCATTTCCCCCCCCCCCCCCCCCCTCCGTAACTCTGAAATAAGTGCGTTTCATGCCTGGGGACACTTTGGAAGACTTAGGAATTGAAGACTGCTCCTCTCTCTGTTGGTCTACATCAGTTTCTCACTACACTTGCGAATTCCCAAAGTTAGCTCTGATTCACTCCTGCAACAAACTTGTGACACTTTGTGACATCACTGCAGTTTCTTTGCCCGCTCTGTGAGGTCAGTGTATTTATGACCTCACTTCAGGGTCGAGTAGATAGGGTATTGGAGTATGCCAGACCAAACTCCTGTTTGTTCATACACCAGACGATTGAGTAAATTGCTCTGAGTCGGAATGTTTTAGCAAACTACCTGTAGAAACAATGAAGTGGAACGTCTAAATCAGTGTGCCGTATTTGTGCACAACCATACAATTTAACAAATAACCCTTGTAAGCTATGCAGTGTGTTGCATATTCATACCTAAAAGTATAATAATGCCAACTGTAACTGTACAACGAGGCTAATACAGTGATAGGTTTTAAATTGGCTGTTACTGGTACCACCCAAGAAGGAGATCTTGGAGTCACATGGAAGGGTCTCTTAAAACATCCACAATATTCAGCAGTGGTCAAAAAGTCTAATTGCTGTTAGGGACTGTTAGGAAAGGGTTAGAAAATAAGATAAAAAAATCATAACATATCATTGTCGCACTTCATAAAACCATAGTATGCCCACATCTTGAGTACCGGGTCCTGCCCTGGTTGCTCATCTCAAAAAGGGTTCAGTGGAACTGGAAAAGGTTCTGAGAAGGACAAAAAAGATGATCAAGAGTCTGAAATGGCTTCCATGCAAGGAGGGACTTTAAAAGACAAGGGCAGGTCAGTGGAGGAAAAGAGACAGCTAAGGCAGGGAGATAAGTGTGGATAAAATGGTATGGAGAAAGTGAATAGAGAAGTGTTATTTAAGAACATAAGATTGGCCAGACTGGGTCAGACCAAAGGTCCATCTAGCCCAGTGTCCTGTCTGCCCATAGTGGCCAATGCCAGGTGCCCCAGAGGGAGGGATCACAACAGGGAATCCTCACATGATCCCTCTTCTGTCACCCATTTCCAGACAAACAGAGGCCAGGGACACCATTCCTACCCATCCTGGCTAATAGCCATTGATGGACCGAACCTCCATGAATCTATCTAGCTCTTTTTTTGAGCCCTGTTAAAGTCGTAGTCTTCACCACATCCTCTGGCAAGGAGTTCCACAGGTTGACTATGCGCTGCATGAAGAAAAACTTCCTTTTGTTTGTTTTAAACCTGCTACCTATTCATTTCATTTGGTGACTCCTAGTTCTCATATATTTACCCTTTCACACAGTACAAAACCCAGGGGTCACCCAATGAACTGAATAGGCAGCATTTTTAATCATGGGGAGTGGAAAGAATTTGTTCACACAACACGCCACTGACTGTGAAACTTATTGCCATGGGATGTTGTGGTGTCAAAGGTATAACTGAGCTCAATCAAGAATTAGATAAGTTCATGGAGGGCAAGTCTCCCAATGGCATTTAGCCAAAGATGGTGAGGGATACAGCTCCTGCTCAGTGTGACTCTAGACCTCAGAAATCAAGGGTGAACCACTCCAAAACTGCTTTGTGCACTCTCCTTCGTGTGTTGGGACAGGCTACTGTCAGAGACAGGACATGGAGCAAGATGGACTCGTCTGATCCAGTCTGACAACTGTCATGTGCTTATGAGTGGTATAGTGTTTCTGAAAGGCTGTTGTCGGTCTTAATTCTAGTCTGCTGCAGTATGTATGCTATATATATGATTGCCTAAAAATGCTTTGGTTTATTATTTTATTGGATTTCTTTCTCCCAGCTTTCTGGGGTGAATCTGATGACAGCAACTCCGAAATTGAGGCTGCTTTGCGTCCACAAACCCATGCAGATGAATTTGATGACTTCTATGACTGACGTATTTAACATGTGTGAGGTGGGGAAATCGAAGCTATGCTCTCCTGCAGAAGCTGCAGTTTTAGTCTGTGTGTTTTGCATCCCTAGCTCTGTGGTGCAGCGAATATCTTGGTATTTAGAACCTTGTTTGGCCATAGAAATGTTGACCAAATAATGATCAGCGTGTCTCTTTGTTTGCATACACGTGTTTTTTTATTAAAAGTGTATTTTAAGAAACATTTTGAATTCAGACGGATTTCTTTAAAAGTGTCCATACTTCTTAAACAGTCCGCGGAAGAGGTGTGTCAGTGGCTGACTGCTCCCCACGGCTGGAAGGACGGCGATGGGATCTCCTTAATTGTCCATTTGCATAAGCCTCCCTTTTAATCCCGATTGGTTCTTATTATTCCAGGCTGAAAGACTGACTCGGTGTTGATCAGGTCCGTCAGGGCAGGGGGCTGGCGGTGTGGGGAGTGCAGGAGTCAGGGTGGGGGAGGAGGGCTCAGGGCAGGAAGCAGGCTCACCGGGGCTGCCCACAGCAGTGAGCATGGCGCTGCAGCTGCTGCCCTCCCCCTAGCTCCTTAATGGTGGAGCAGCTGCCAGCTCCTTTGTTTGGGGAGAGGGGGGAAGCTAGATGGTCTGGCCCCAGCTGCCAGCCCCCCGGGGGGGGGGAGGTTGCAGTCCCTGGCCCCCAGTGGGGCGCCTCCCTGGGGGGAGATGAGCCATAAGACTTGGGGTTCAAAGGACTATATCCAACAGTGCCCCCCATAAGGACTCCGGGGATGCAATGCCCAGCCTTTGAAGCCCCGTCCCCAGGAGAGGGTGGCTGTCGGATTCTCTCATCCAGGAGACAGGCAATCAAAGGGCCAAGCTGGACCAAGACGCAGGTGGATCTGCCCAGTAGCTGTTCTGGTCCTGAGGGCGCTCACGGCTTGTGACCTCGGGGAAATCCCAGACGTGCGTTTTGAAGGACTGACGCCTCCCAGAGCCCGAGGCTGGAGCTGGGACAAGCTTTTCTGCATGTGCGTAGGTTTGAGTCCGTCTTTTCTGTATAAAACCAAGTGTGCTTGCATATACATGGCCACCCAGCTCTTTATAACTGCAGGCTGTTAGTGTGGGCCATAAGCTCTGGAGGGAAAGCGGATGTCTTGCCTTTGTAGGGTATTTACGCTGCAGCCTCCCCTCCTGTCCCCATGCGGCCGGGAGTCTCAGAGCCTGGGTCAACTGCTGCAGACTCATGGGGCCCCCAGGCCCTGGTGAAATAGGGGGGCAGGAGGGGAAGGAATTCCCAGGCCCCGTGAGGAAGTGCAGTGAGGGGGGGGGGGGGAAGGGAATCCTCATGTTCTGGGTGAAGTGGGGGAGGGAGGAAATGGCGAGGCTCCATTGTGATGTGGGGGGGCGTGCTGGCTGCTCTATAACCCAGTGTGCTATGGGAGGGCCTTGCTGGTTGCTGGGCTTGGGCAGTGGGTGACTCCACTGGCGGCTATTTGTAGCAGGGACCAATAGAACAGCGGATGAGTCATGAGGCAAGGGGCTCACAAGCTGTCCAACAGGTCGCCTCCCAGGGAGAGAGACAAAGGGAGGAAGGCGGCAGGGGACCATGCTTCCCACCCCACACCCCACGGATAAGCAGGCCAGGGATCCAGTGGCTGGGGGGGGGGCTCGAGCAGCCTGGGCTTCCAACTGCGCCTGGCAGCGCTGTCCCCAGGAGCGGGTGCTGACTTGAGCGTGCAGGCCTGGCCGTGTGCTGCATGGGGCGCTCCAGAGTCTGTGTGTCCTTGTCCCCAGCCTCCGTCCAGCAGTGGCTCGTGGTGGGATGCTGTCACCCCCCCCCACCTCCGGGGGTAAGAAGTGTGGGTGGCCTCCCCAGAGTCTGAGAGCAAGAGCCCAGGGGAGCTGTCTCCTGGCGCTGCGCGGCGCAGACTGGCACTGCACTCGCACGGACCGCAGCGTGACAGCCAGGCTGAGAGAGCTGAGCAACGATCGCACCAGAGCCCTGCGGCGCCCGCCAACCCCACCCTATGGGTCCCCTAGACGACTGAGATATAAAAGGAGCAATCAAGGACGATAAAGCAGAAACTAAATGATTTCTTTGCTTTAGTCTTCACGGCTGAGGACGTTGGGGAGATTCCTGAATCTGCACCGTCCTTTGTGGGTGATGAATCTGAGGAACTGTCCCGGATTGAAGTGTCATTAGAGGAGGTTTTGGAACAAATAGAAAAACTTAATGTTAACAAATCTCCGGGACCGGATGGCATTCATCCAAGGATTCTAAAAGAACTCAAATGGGAAA